GTGTTGTATAAAGTACCACAAAGTGATACTTGAGTAAAAGTATAAGTATCTTACCAAAAAATACTCTGGTAAGTTAAAGTCTCCTTTAGGAATATTACTCAGTGTTGTATAAAGTACCACAAAGTGATACTTGAGTAAAAGTATAAGTATCTTACCAAAAAATACTCTGGTAAAAAAGTCTCCTTTAGGAATATTACTCAGTGTTGTATAAAGTACCACAAAGTGTTACTTGAGTAAAAGTACAAGTATCTTACCAAAAAATTACTTTAATAAAAGTAAAAGTCTTCTCTAAAAATATTACTTGAGTAAAAGTCTTAAAGTATCTGATATTTTTTGTACTTAAGTATTAAAAGTAGATTTCTGACAGAAAATCTACTTAAGTGTTAAAAGTAAAAGTACTGAGTAAAAGTGAGTGGTTCGATTTTCCAAAATGACATTTATTGGGAGGTGACTTCTCAAAAAAAAGTTTTTTTTCTAACAGCGTGCAGCTGTGATGGGTTGTGTACAAACTAATATAGTGTCAGAATGGTATATATTTATACTTCTCATCCAACCACAATTAAAAATCACTCTATCCAGGAGACACAATTTATTAGGATAGTATTTTTTAAGTAATAACTCAGAATAAAATGGGAGAAACRACTTTCTACTTGTTTAGAAATGTGATGAGTAAAAGTAAAAAGTAGGCTGAAAAATAATTACTCAAGTAAAATACAGATACCCAAAAATTCTACTTAAGTACAATAACAAAGTATTTGTACTTAGTTACTTTACAGCTCTGATAATGATAAAGACATTCAGTTAAGTGTGTATTTGTGTGATACCCGTGTAGTTCTACAACACGACTCGTAATTAATTTTTTTCTCTCTCAGACCAGCAGCGTCTGCTTCACCAAGAAGACTTCGGCTGTGAGGAGGAGGTACAGCGAGTTTGTGTGGCTCAGGCAGAAACTGATGGCAAATTCCCTGCTAATGTAGGTGACTCTTAACAGATTCATTTCTGTTTGAAACTCTCAGGTTAAATGGTTCCCATCTTTTTTTTTCCTTGCAGGACAAACCTGCCAGATCTGCCTCCTAAAAACCCTTTCTTCAGCCTGAACAACGCCCATCAGATCACAGAGCGGATCAAAGGACTCCAGAAGTTTTTAGAACAGTAAAAAAAACATAATAAATAAAATAAGAACTTTGACTTTATCACAAACTTGACACAACTGGTTCACACCGGTTAAGAACTGCACACCGCAGGACTTTTCACTTCCACTGGCAGTAAAAAAAACATGTTTATCTTCCCAGAGTCGTGCAGAACCCTCTGCTGCTGTCCGACAGCTGCCTGCACCTCTTCCTGCAGTCTCGGCTCAGCGTGGCCAAGATCGAGGCCTGTGCTGTGGGAAGGACCCACTACTCTGTGGCCCAGGCGGTCCAACGCAGCGGTTTGAGGAGATTCCACTCTGAGGAGGACGTGCAGAAGGACCTCAACACATCCTGTGACTCTGACTCAGATAGGTAATGCAATTCTGGTCTTTACTCTATGTTGTTAGGGAAGTCCTGACCAGAGGGGGAAAGTCCACTATTTCAAACCCTCTGATAAAACAGTTTAACACTGGAAATAATCCCTGTTGTGTTTTCCAAATCAGCAGTGGTGGGCACAGCTGTTCATAAAGTTAGCTTTGCTGAATGTCAGTTTACTAACTAAAAGATTTGCTACACGAATGCTAAACCATTAAACATGTAGGAACATTAACAAATAAGAGCTAACTCTTATAAAACCATATAAAAAGAGTAACTACATCTCCCCAAGTGCTTTATGGCATTTTTCTTGCCAAAATCCCAGTTTCTGACCAGATTGCAAGGATTTGAATGGACAGAAGCGACTGTCACCCAATCTGCACACATATTTCCAGCTGAAGGCTGAGTACTAAAGATGCCGCACGCACGCACACACACATCATGTTTCTCTATCTTTGTGGGGACTTTCCATTGACTTCCACTCATTTTTTTTGGTAATTTTATATCCTAACCCTGACCTTTACCCTAAAATTAACCTCACAGGTACCTTACCTGACCCTAAAACTAACCTAAACCCAATTCACACCCTGGTCTTAAACCCAAACCCACCCAAAATCAGCCTTCCAAGTTGTGGGGACAAAACTTTGGTCCCCAGGAACAAAGAACAGAACATTTTTAGAAAAATAAAATGATGGGGCGGCAATTAAAATTTTAATTCTGGTGTTCAAGATTTTTAGATGTTGTTTTAAACAATATTTCCATATTATTCATTATGATTTTTCAAATTAATGCATTTTTCTCTAAATGCTTAATACATTCATTAAGCCTTACATTTTGTAAATACTTTATCATGTTCAGATTTGAATGTATTCAGTGTTTTATTCATGTACTTGGCTTGTCAGTTATAATTTAGAGAATAAATTTTTCAACATACTATAATCTGTTTTTTATTCTGTTGAATTGGCATCATATATAGTTGTTTAAATTTTAAATTTGGAATCCTGTAGTAGACAAAGCAAAGTTAATTCTCGTATTAAAAGTTTCAACCCTGAGCATCTTTCAAATCRTTCAGTAAACTATGGTACACTGTGTACTTAGAGGTCAAAGTTTCTGCACCGGGTTTAAAATTACATACAGCATTTAGTTTTGCGTATCTTTTACAGTCTACTTGTGGTGAAGTAGGGCCCCCAAAGCAGATCTTGCTTAGGGCCCCCAAATGTCTAGGGCCGGCCCTGGTCCCCACAAGGACCATCTGGTGCCCACAAGGCTGCATTTTCCTGAGAAATCATCCCCACCAAGTAGCAAAAACAAGGACACACACACACACACACACACACACACAC